AGTTTTAAGGGCTGTTTTTCCCTCATAGTTCATTGTGCACTTGAGAAGCTCATTTGTGGGAGTCCGGCTGGCAGTAGTAGTAGTACTACTGGCACTAGCAGCACTGCCAGTGCTGCCCATCGAGCACTTCGCCTCTTCGCGAACCCATGTCCTGTGGAACGAGTTAAAGTGCATTCCGGGTTGTTGACATGCTCGATTCCAGTGTAACACCAAAGTGCGCCGGGAGATGTTTGTCCTCACAGTTGAGTCCACACTGTAGTGCAGCAGCGCAACCAAAGAATGTTTCAGTGCTATGCCATGCCGCTAGGCTTTTTATGCATTTTTGCTTAATACAAAAACATATTTGTGACGAGACAGTGTGTACATGTGTGTGTGTGTGTGTGTGTTTGTGTTACGGTCTGTGTGTGTGCTTGCTTCGTTAATTCGTTTTGGAAATTGCGGAATTTAGGCGATCAAATTCCGAAATTTCGTGAACCATATGCTGATGTGGAGCCGTTTTTGACATCATGTGCTCTGGCTCATCAAAAGTACAATTTTGCCTTGTTTTATTGCTTTTGTCGTTGCAGTTACAGCCTGCTGCAGCACTTTCATCGTAATTATGCCTTTTGAACCAAGTGTCACATCACGAGGGCGTTAATTATACGGTTGCGCAGTTGTCTGCCATCCCTTGAATTCAGGAACCTGGCAAGCTAGAGTGTTGGAATTTTCTAAGCCTTTTCCCCGCTGCCTGTACAAAATTATGCGAAAAAACAATTACTTACACCGATTAATCGCGCGAATCTATTGGCTATGGTTGTGTTATTTGCAGATGAAGGAGAATGCAAACGGTCGTTCTCCACCACCACACAAAACCGAATTGGTGGCGCAGAATATGCTGAAGGATTTACTGGGGAGACGCTCGTTCCAGAAACATCTCATCGAGAGCACGGCGGAGCAACTTATGTACGGAGCTGCTAAATCTCACTCTGATTCCTATGGGCAGCAGCATTTCGTGGTCAGCAATGCTGGATTCGAGTCACCGACCAGTTACTGTTGTGCTGTGATCGACGAGAACATCGGCATGTTAGTGCGGCTGCTGGATCTGATCGCTGAATCGTTCATCAGAAGCTGTAAGAATTGATATTTGCGTATGCTTTGCTAGGACAGAAAGTTGAAAGTTTCGTTGTGTCTTGCATCTCAGCAACAACGTAGAGGCCTCCACTAATGACCTGAGTCATCTTTTGTGTAAAAAAAAAAAAAAAAACTTCCTGCATCCTGATGAGCTGAAGCAGATGCTATTGCAATAGTTTCACAGCGGAGAGTAATAGAATTTTTTGATTAGAAGCTAATCTCGTTGTCTGTTTATGTCGAGGAAGTAGAGTAATGAGTTTGGTGGATACTGGAGTGCAAATGCACTTTACGAGAGCACCACTTAGGGCCAGTCACTCCAACGGTCGCTTGAATTTGACAAGTATTATTGCAGGATATATGGCATGTACTCCATGTGGCCAAGAGAAGGTTGTATGCGTCCCAAAAAGTTATCTTTCAAATCACTGCTTTTGTTTCTCTACACGCATCTGACACACGGGATCACATTCAACCCCTCCCAAGTCCATTTCCTGTGACAGGCGGAAGTACCGGCGGATAATTCAGATAATTCATGTATAATTCATGTAGTGCATTTGACAGCAGTCATTCCGTGGTGAGACAGTCATTGTTAGTTCCCTTCCCTGAGAGTTGTACAGAAGCAAACTGATGATGTTCTTGACTTCTTACTGTGTTTTCTTATCAATTTACTATCAAAAGGAGTAGGCGTTTTGTTGAAAAATTTCCTCCCAGTACGATGAAAGCCTCAACTCTGGATACAGACACCAAGGTAATAGAAGTTTATACCTTACACAGGAAGTACTTTTGCCACTGTACCACATACAAATATGATAGGAAATTTCGAGGTCACACTGTTGCCCTTTGAGGTTTGGCCTTGCAAAACACAAGATAACTATCAGTGATGCCTGTTAATGATGTGAGATCGGATTTTTGAGTGGAATCTACAGGTATTTACTAATTAACAGATTCTAATTCGCAATGTTTTAGCAAATCTGGCATTCTGTGATATTGGCGTGGAAACGAATCGTGACACCGCTGCACTTTTTGCTGTTCGAGTGCAAGTTGATAGGTTCCTGAATTCCAATTCGTTCCAGTTACTGCAGTTCGAGCAGATTGTGCGACGTCTTTGTGCGCTGCTTCGATGTTTTGCAATACGAATCTCCACGTACAATTTTTTTTCCTGATTTTTCATGTTTTTTTTTTTTCAAATTATTTGTTTCGAAACGCGAACTGCTTGCTTTTCAGCCCGTTCCAGATTGCGAACTGTGCTTTCTATGCTGGCTCTCTTTGCGATCTGCTGTATCGTTTCGAGGAGTTCTGCTCAATACAAAACCAGCAATTATCAGGCAATTTCGAACAGCTGCGAAAAGCAATTGATAGTTTTCATAGTATCGTTGTGATACACTTGAACAAGGTCTGTTTAAAATTTTTCAATGCAGCTGAATAATGCATGTGTAGAAATCTTACTGCAATCGATTTTAGCTTTCAGAAATAAGATGTGTAGTAAGCTCTTCTAATGGTGGGATTAATCAGCCATAGCCGTTCAGAACTGCGAAAATATGTACGTGATAAATTGAATGAAATTTTTATAGATGCTGGCTGCACGATTTAAAGAAACTTGTGCCGCAAAGAAAGCGCAGGAGCAGAGCAGTCCATCCAAGCGAACGCCACAACGGCCAAAGTCTGCGACAACATTTCGGGAAGTTGAACATGTTCTACGAAGCCCAGGATACTTGTTACCGCACGATCTTCGCGTCAGTTTGCAAAGGAGATTTCTGCTTTTTCTGAATTTCGCTAAAAAATTTCATAATTTTCATGTATATTGACTGCTTATTATGATTATGTATTCTAGGTGAGGTCTCGAGCACTTATATCGAGAGGCGTTACAGTGTCATCTTCACCATCTAAACGATCGACAGTAAGAAAGCCTAACAAACACGTCGCACAGAACAATGTGCAGGGAAAAGCTGCGTATAGGTACTCCTCATAATATCTTCATTTTGCCAAACATAGAATAAAAAAGTGTTAAAATTTATACCTCGTCCTGTCTACGATTGGAGCTTCATGAAGATTATTTGAATTCAGATAAACAACTACTAGGACGGTTCGCAAAAAGGCGGCGCGTACACATGAAATTGGCGGTTTTAGCTGAAAATGTGTAATCCGGCGTCGAAGGCCCTGAGTTAACTGTGCCCAGCGTTTGAGAGCATCCTAGTAATTTCACTGCCATGAAATACTGGCACTTATTGCTTGAACTGTCTTGGTATTTAGACTTATTTTTTTAGGCTGATTGATTTTCGGGTCATCACTGACTTTGCAAACAC